AATTCGTTGGAATGTACCAGACCATGACTATTGTGGAAACTATTGTATGTATGCTGGTACCATCGGTCTTGATCATTGCTTGCAACTGTCTAGTTGTCAGCAAATTGAACAGCCATATCAAGTTAGTTTTTTAAAGTTTATAAGATGGAATCCAACGTTCCCATTTTCCAGGAAGAACCCAGGATCCCCAGCGGTGTCATTCAATACTGCTGATATTGTGCTAACAACTCAGACTTCTGCTCCGAGCAACACACTGAAGAGCTATACGAGAATATCCAGCAGATTCTCGATTGATGTGGAGAAGACTCCGAAAAAGAAGAAGAAGGGAATCCGGTATACTGATATTCAGTTGACCAGATCCCTCTTGGTCGTCACTTGGGCGTTCATTGTACTCACCATCCCAAGTNNTTTCTAGCCTTACAAATAAATATAAATTTGCCGTATCTTGGCTCATTCTCCACCGTTTTCAATAATTTTTGGCTTGAATTTTTTAGAATTTTCAGCTTCGAAAGAATATATTTTTAGCGAAATCTAGTCTGCGTCTTTAAAAATTACAGTAGTTACTGTATTTTTTGAGCCTATTTCCTCAATTTTTCTACTGAAATTTCGAAAAATTCCAGAAAAATCATAGAAAATCGGGGATTTGGAAATCCAAATATTCCAAAAATCCACAATTTTCTAAAAATTCTGAAATTTCAGATCGTCAGAAGTTTTCCAAAAAAATCGAAAAATCGAAAAATCGGGAATTCCAAAACTTCGAAAATTCCTGGAAATTTTGGAATTTCAAGGAATTCCTGGAAATCCAGAAACTCGAAAAATCGAAATTTAGAAACTGCGGAATGTTCAGAAATTCAAAGAAATTCAAAAGTTCCTGAAAATCCGAAAACGCCAAAATTTCAAAATTTCAAGAGTTCCGATAAATTCCTGAAAATCGAGGAATTCCAAATCCAGTAATTTCAGATAGTCAGAAACTCTAAAAATTTCAGAAATTCCAGATATATATCTTCTTTTTGTTTTGATAATTTCAAAAATCCCAAAAAATCAAAAGTTTCAAAAATCGCAAAAGTTGGGATTTTTTTTAAAATCTGAAAATGTCAAAAATCTTGAAAATTCGAAAAAAAAACTTTTTTTTTTCATTTTTCTCTAGATTCTTCATTATTGTTTTTCCGATTTACATTGAAAAAAAACGGTAAAAATCGACTAAAAATCGATTTTCTCAAAGAAAAAAGCCTCTCACCTGTAGTTCTCCCTCCCATATCCTCCCCGAGCTTCTCCCATCCGATCCTCTGATTTTTCGCCTCTTGAACCATCATTCCCATCAGTTCACACACCCGCCGAACCGCCAACTCCCTCTTCCTCTCCTCCGTTGCCCCGGCCATTTGCCTGGCGTTCAATTTCCCGAGGAAATTCTCCAAAACCCCTTGTCTCACTCATTTCTCTCTTGGGTCACCAGCTTCTTGCTATCAAAGACATATCTCCAGGTGACATCTGTCACGTGGTCATGCCCATAAGCAATACAGTACTTCAACTGCTTCTTCCACCCACGAGTGTAGAGCAACGGGCGGTCCATAGTGTTCTCACAGGGATCCACGTGGATCCATCTTTGCTCTTTTTTGAGATACACCTCGTTCCACACATGATCAGTGGTGTCGAGCACAAAACGATTTTCTAGGCCGGCGGCCGAGAGGATTAGACCAAAACAATTCGCCCATTCTCCACACCGTCCAGTACGGGTCTGCAGAAGCTTCGAAGGATCGTTATACCTTGGGAATCGCATTTCAGAGTTACACCCATTGCAGATGAAGACCTCAACTCTTCCAGCTCCTCCCTCTTTTTCTTCTTTCGTCGGTGTTCCGTTTAACCCTTCTGTGGTACATTTTAAAGTGCATTTTAGGCATGTAGGGCGGTCGAACCAGGTGAAAAAGTCGTTTTTGAACCAATCTAGAAGCTCCTGGAGTACTTTTTTCTCGTCTTCTCCGTTTTCCAAACGATCAGAGATCCCATCTGGCATCACACTCCTCGCCAACGCCTTGAACACCTCGTCAGTGTGCATTTTCCGAAGCTCCGTGTACCCCACGAATCTCTCCAGAAACTTCTTTTCCTCGTCTGACGCTGCATTCGGGTTGGCTGGTGTCGAAGAATAGTGTTTTCGAATAGTGCTGATGATTGCGGATTCGTTGGCGCCGCGCACCGAATCCACTTGTTGCTTGTTTTTGAAGAAGAGGAAGGTTGGCATGGCGGAGATACTGTAGCGCATCACGATGTCTGGAAATTCAAAAACTGCTTTAAAAATCATTTTCAAACGATAAAGCTAGAAATCTAGAGAAAATTTTTTTCTCGAAAACTTAAGACTAAAATCGTTTAAAACCGTTGAAAATAAGCCGATTTACAGTGAATTCAAGTTTTTACTGAGGCTTAGCAAGTTTTGTAGTTTGTATTCACTGAGAGACATGAAGCCCAGACTACAAACTACACACTTCAAGAATGTATAGAAAATTTGCGAAATTTTGACTTAAAAACCGTCGAAAATGGAGCAAAACGAGATGAAATAGAGCTAGTTATTACTTTTACTGAGGCTTAGCAAGTTTTGTAGTTTGTAGTCTCTTAGCCTCAGGAAAACTAGCCGCCGCGCCGCCACTCCAATGCCACGTCTCAAGAATTTACTGAGGCTTAAAAATTTTGTATTTTGTAGCCACTTAGCCTCAGGAAGCGCGCGCGCTATTTTACTGAGGCTACAAGATTTCCTAAGCCTCAGTAAAACACTCCAACGCTTTTACTGAGGCTAACAAGCATTTTTTGTTTGTAGTCGCTCAGCCTCAGTAAAACAGCACGCGCGTTTCCTGAGGCTAAGTGACTACAAACTACAAGATTCTTTAGCCTCAGTAAATACTTCAAATCGCTGTAACTCGGCTCATTTTCCACCGTTTTTTATGATTTTCGGCTCAAAATTTCAGGAATTTCAAGCTTAAGGATGCTTTTCGGTCATTTTTCTAGATTTTTTCCTAGTTTTGGCTCTATTACCTCTCGCCAAATCCGTATTCACTTTAAGAAACGTGGCGTTTCCAAACTCCATCGAAAGCCGCTCGAACGCAGGACTTATCATCCGGCACGGACCACACCAATTGGCAAAAAAGTCCACAATTATGAGCCGATTCGAGTCGGATTTCTCCAGAATCTCATTGAGCTCGGGAAGTCGGGACACCTCTCGAACCGGCATTTTCTGGGGCTGTATGGGAGGGAAAATAAGGGAAAAAAGCTTGAAAATTGGATAGGAAAAAAGATTTTAATCGTTTGAAAATACGATTTTTAAGACAAAACATAAGAAAAGAAGGTGATAAATTAAAGATTATTCCAGGAATTTCAGATCAAAAATACAAAACACGATGAAAAATAGCTTAAAAATAAATTATCAATCCTCTCGCTTGCGAATATTCCTGCCGCCAGCCTTCTTCTTGAATTCAATCGGTCCTTTTACCTGAAAATAGAATTCTGATGGTTTTTAACGTTGAAAAAAATTTTATAGCTTTATTTTATGCAGAAATCTATTTCCCAAAAAAAAAATCGCGCGAAATTCGAATTTTTGTCGATTTTCAGTGTTTTTTGGAATTTCAGAATTCCAAAAATCAGAATTTCAAATAAAAATGGTCCAAACAACGGTTTTTGGTGTTTTTTTTTGAAGCCGAAACGACCCAAAACCTAGAAAAAACGATGAAAATCGCGAAAAAACGAGTTTTTCAAAAAAACTGCACAGATGGCCTAGTGGGTTTTTGGACACGAATCCCAACACCAGGGTTCGATTCCACTCGACGCCAAACTCTTTTTGTTTTTGTGCTGAGCATGTTTTAGTGGTTCTAGACGCTTCTAAATGTCATTTTCAGATTTTTCTGAAAATCTGAAATTCCAAACAACACTGAAAATCGACAAAAATTCGAATTTCGCGCGATTTTTCTCAGAAGTTGACCTAGAAAACTCCCATTCGGCCAACAGGTGAATTTTCTCAATGATCTGCGGAAAAAAGGCGCGAAATTCAAATTTTAATATATTTCAAAGTTGTTTGGAATTTCAGATTTTCAGAAAAATCTGAAAATGATCTATTAAAATTTGAATTTCGCGCCTTTTCGCCGCAGATCATTGAAAAAAATTCATCTGGTGGCCGAATGGGAGTTTTCTAGGCCAACTACTGAGAAAAATCGCGCGAAATTCGAATTTTTGTCGATTTTCAGTGTTTTTTGGATTTCCAGAACTTCAGGAAAATCTGAAAATGACATTTAGAAGCGTCTAGAATCACTAAAACATGCCCAGCACAAAAGCAAAAAAGCTTTGGCGTCGAGTGGAATCGAACCCTTGCGTTGAGATTCGTGTGTGCCCAAAAACCCACTAGGCCATCTAGGCAATTTTTTGAAAAACCTTGTTTTTTCGCGATTTTCATAGTTTTTTCTAGGTTTTGTCGTTTTAGGCGACCAAAACTCGATTTTTGGTCCATTTTAAGCCTATTTCACCCTAATTACCGGTGGTTTTTCGGTTTTTTTATGGGAATCTACATACAATTTTGTAAAAATAAAGCACATTTTCATGAATTTCTCTACCTTTTTAGTCATCACCGTCGCCGTTTTCTCTCCAAACTCGAATTTCGGCTCCTCGGCCCTCTTCTTCTCCTCTTCCTCCTCTCGTTGAGCCTCTTCTTCACGGAAACGGGCGGTTAGTGGAGATTCGAAGACCTCCTGCTTCTCCTCCTTGGTTACACGAACCCAAGCGCCAAATGGGTTGCCAGGGGTCGGAATTGACGGTTTTGGAGGCTCGATTAGACCGATTTCAGGGACTTTTTCGGGTTCTGGAGCTTCCTCTTCTTCTGGCGGAGGTGGCGGAGCTTGGAGCATCATATCCTTTTCCTGGTCCATCATAGCTTCACGTTCTGGGGTTCCAACGATCTCGAATTCTTCCTCTTCATCGTCTACATCCTCCTCATCACTGTAATCGTCTTCATCGTCTTCTTCGACGTCTTCTTCCTCCTTAGCCTCTTCCTCTCTCCTCTTCCTTTCCCTCTCTGCACACTTCTCCTTCCACAACGCCTTCTTCTCCTCCTTGGTCAACTTCTGGCCCTTCCTAGGCCTATCCGTATAGTTCTGCTCCTTCCGATTAGCCTCTACCTGCTCTGCCATCCCATTCTTCGCCAATTGACTCTTAATAAACGCCGAGACGTCGTTCTTCCCACTCCTCACCGCCTGCACCTCATCCATTCCATAGTAATTCTTCTTCCGCTGCTCCTCAAACTCTCTACACTTCTCCTCGTACTGTTGCTCGGTGTAGAAGTGATTCGGGGTGTCCCATCTAGTGGAATTATCGAAGAGGTTCCAGTAATAGTGACCAGGGCCGTCTGGATTGCGAGCACGTACCCAGGAGATTTCAGCACATTGCGTTTGAGTTTCAGGGAGATATCCAACGGCTAAGTGCTCCGGAAGAGCAGGTCCAGCGGCATTAGGGTTGGTCACTGGAAATTTGAATTTTTAACTAAAATTTGGAACTTTCTAAGGAACCCACAATCCCTATAAGCTGATACCACATCTCCTTTGCTAATTTTCAGATCTGGAGCTGCTCCCGCAGGTGCTGCGGCTCCTCTTTTCATGGCTCCAGCCTCCCTCCTTGACGCCATCTCTCTTGCCATGGACCCCACATCTTTATGCTTGTTCGGATCGAAAATATTCATCCGAAGACCAGTGGATGGTAAACTGGGTCCCGCCACGATCCCTTCTCCATTTCTAGACATTGAAGCGGCTGCTGCAGCCTCCATTCTAGCCAATGTCCCATTGAGTTTGGCGTCAGCCAGCTCTTGCTTCTTTCCCTTCTGCATCGTCTCTCGAATCCGCTGCTGGAGCATTGCTTTGTGTCGCTCTCCACGATCATGATGGTCCTGTGATGCTTTGTTGTTTCCGAACCAGACCTGAAGGCGAAAAAATATTTTTTTCAATAAAAATTTATTTTTTGAAAAAATTACCTTGCAAATTTCACAGAATCGCTTTCCAGTCGACACCCATTGTTCTGCCATTTTTTTAAATATAGAAACTATCGGTTTTTCAGCTGAAAACCCAGAAAAAAGCTTTAATTTTAAGAAGACGTGGAGTAAATACGAATTGAATAACTTGTCCGAGAGGAGTCCGAGCGCTTGGTGGCCTAACTTTTCCTGATGTGGAGTCCTCGAGGACAACGCATTTTTCAATGAATTTTCAACGAATTTTCAATCAAAATCTCGAATTTTAGTTTTAGAAATGCTGGAAGAACCGCCTATATTGACGGAAGAAGAAGCCAAAGAAATTCTAGATGGCGTTTCCTTCTTCTCGCTGGAGTTTGATGATATTCAAGGCCTGGCAACTTTTATGCTTGCTCATGCCAGGCAATTGCCTGAAAGTGAATATGTGATAGAGGTTTTTAGGTGAGAAAAAGCTGAAAAAGCTGAAAAAACTGGAAAATTTCCAGCAAAAATCCAAATTTTGAATGAAAAAATAGCAATTTTCCAAAATTCTCAGACGCTACTGCTACGGAGTCGTTCGCTGCGTCGAGGTTGACAGAAAGTGCTCAAAGCGATTCATTCCAAACTTTATCAGCTCAATTCAACACCTGAAAGACGCTGAAAAAGTGATTCAAGCAGTCTACGAGGTCCTTCTGTCTCTTCCAATGATGCTACAGGCCAGATGGGATCTTCTCACAATGCTGGCTAGTTCTAGAATGATTGAAGACCTAGATGAGGTTCTCTTCAAGGAGGTTAGACCTTGAAAAGTTAATTTTCTTGTAATTTTTGTGAATTTTATGAATTTTCAGGTTATGTCCTGTTCTCCAGACCAGGACTTGGCTGCCAGATGCTCTAGTACTATGCTACAAATGGCAGCGAACCCTAAAACTTCTGAAAAGGCGGCAGAGATCGTTTTTAGGTAATTAAAAATAGCCTAGGAGGTTCCTAAAATCATGAAAATAAATAAAAAATCGCAAAAAATCCTAAAATGCGGAAAACATCGAAAAAAGGCATTGAAAAAGCGAAGAAAAAGGCTGAAAATGGTCCAAAAATCGACAAAAAGGACGCCAAAACGACCCAAAACCTGGAAAAAATGATGAAAATCGCGAAAAAACGAGTTTTTCGAAAAATTGCACTGATGGCCTAGTGGGTTTTTGGACATTTACGAATCTCAACACCAGGGTTCGATTCCACTCGACGCCAAACGCTTTTTGCTTTTGTGCTGGGAATGTTTTAGTGATTCTAGACGCTTCTAAATGTCATTTTCAGATTTTTCAGGAATTCTGGAAATCCAAAAAACACTGAAAATCGACAAAAATTCGAATTTCGCGCGATTTTTCTCAGTAGTTGGCCTAGAAAACTCCCATTCGGCCACCAGATGAATTTTCTCAATGATCTGCGGAGAAAAGGCGCGAAATTCAAATTTTAATAGATTTCAAAGTTGTTTGGACTTTCAGATTTTCAGAAAAATCTGAAAATGACATTTAGAAGCGTCTAGAACCACTAAAACATGCTCAGCACAAAAACAAAAAGAGTTTGGCGTCGAGTGGAATCGAACCCTGGTGTTGGGATTCGTGTCCAAAAACCCACTAGGCCATCTGTGCAGTTTTTTTGAAAATCTCGTTAAAAATAGATTTTTGAACCATTTTTATCCTAATTACCGGACCCCACTTCGCTATTTCGATGCGTTTTCTTGATTTTTATTGGAATCTAGATAGATTTCTGCGTAAAATAATGAAAATTCCAGAGGCCTTACCTCTCCGATCTTCGCCACCCGTAACAATGTGACTCGATCGTGGTTGTGTCGAATAATCAACATGAAAAGCTCTCAAAAGTGCATTGAGAAGGTTCTAGAGCTGTGTAGAGAGGAGGTGATAAGGAGTCATTCCAAAATGTGGCCTGTTGCGTTTCGAGAGATCTCTGGACTCACTTGTGTGGATCTACAATGGAAACCAGTGCTGGAGGAGGAGCCATATGATACCCTGACGTTTGCACTAATGGGATATTTCTCAGTATTGCTGGCATTGAAGCATAGTTCCAGTCAAGTGCATGTGAAGCTCAAACATGACGATGTCGTTGTGGCCAAAGGTACAAAAAATTCAGTTTAGGATTTTTAAATAAATTAAAAATGTAGAAAAACATTCAGATTCATATAGAAACTTCGAAAAATGCCAAAAATCGCTTATCGACTATTGTAGGAAGCTATTAAGCTATTTTTGGTCGATTTTGGACCACTTTCGAGCAGTTTTAGACAGTTTTGAAACCATTTAGGCTCATTTTTGGACCATTTTAGACTATATTTAGACTATTTAAGGGCATTTTAGACTATTTTAGACATATTTTGGGCCATTTAGGACCATTTTTGGACTATTTTAGACAAATTTTTGATCATTTTGGACAACTTTAAGATTTCTTTGGACCGCGTTTAGACCCTTTTTGGACCTTTCTGGACTTTTGTGGTTCATTTTTGGGCCATTTTAAACAATTTTTAACCGATTTTGGACCATTTTGGGTCATTTTTAGAAACTTGTGGAATCTTTTTTTTTTTTGAAGTCCCCCCAAAATTCCGAAAATATGCGATTTTTCTTCGATTTTTAGCAAAGTTTGTAGGCCTTTTTAGGTTTTACAGCTATTTTTGAAGATTCTTAATAGATTTTCCCAGATTTTTTGACTGAAATTGAAGAATTTCTGTGGTTTGCAGTTAAAACTTTGAAAATTCTAAAATATTTTGAGCCAAAAATCATCGAAAACGGTGGGAAATAAGCCGAGATACAGCGCTTAGAAGTTTTTACTGAGGCTTATGGCAATTTGTAGTTTGTAGTCGCTTAGCCTCAGTAAAATTCAGTTTCTTTTAAGAAAGGTTCCGGAGGCTAAGAGACTACAAACTAGAAAACCTTCTTAGCCTCAGTAAAATCTTTGGAGTGTTTTACTGAGGCTTATAAAAATTTGTAGTTTGTAGTCGCTTAGCCTCAGGAAAACTAGCCGCCGCCGCTCAAGTGCCACGTGCCAAGAATTTACTGAGGCTTAGAAAAGTTTGTAGTTTGTAGTGACTTAGCCTCAGTAAACGCACATGATGTTTTACTGAGGCTTATGGCAATTTGTAGTTTGTAGTCGCTTAGCCTCAGGAAACGAAAAAATAACGCATGCTGTTTTACTGAGGCTAAGAGACTACAAACTACAAAGCATTTCTAAGCCTCAGTAAAAATTGAAATCTTTGTGTTGTTTCTCAGTTAGTTTTCAACCGTTCTTCGCTCGTTTTTGTTTAGAAATGACTTAAATTTTGTGTTGACTACAAACTACAAATGTTGCTAAGCCTCAGTAAATACGATTTTCATGATTTTTTATCGAAAAAATGTCAAATTTTTAGCTTAAAACTCGTTCAAGAAGATTACTGTAGATCCTTTTGAAATTTTTTCGCCAAGGTTAAAGTGCAGAAAAAACTACAAAATACTAGGTTTTCTACAGTCATCTACAGTAATCTCCCATGGAATTTCAGTTAAAAAATTCGAAAAAACCGAAAAGAATCTTCAAAAATAGCTGGAAATCCTAAAAAGGTCAAAAAATTTTCCAGAAAATTGGAGAAAAATCAAATTTAGATTCTCGAAAAATCGATTTTTTTGTAGTTATAGCGAAAACTGGTTCAAAATGGTCCAAAACCGGCTAAAAACTGCCTTAAATAGGTTTAAAAATAATCTGAAATGACCCAAAAATGAGCCACAAAGGTCCAGAAAGGTCCAAAAAGGGTCCAAAGAATTCTTAAAGTTGTCCAATGAAATACTTGTCTAAAATAGTCCAAACTGATCTTATATGACTCAAAATATGTCTAAAATTGTCCAAAAATGAGCCAAAATGGTCCAAAAATAATCTAAAACTGCCCGAAAGTGGTCCAAAATCGACAAAAAAAAAATAGCTTAATAGCTTCCAAAGATCGTCGAGAAGCGATTTTTGGCATTTTTTTAAGTTTCTGTATGAATCTGGATGTTTTTCTACACATTTTGATGCTAATTTCACACAAACTTGTTTCAGGAATCGAATTCCTGGGCGCCATCTGCTCGAAACAAGCCTTCACCGTCTGCTCCAAATACAAAATCTATCCTCCCAACCTGGAAAGAGCTGTAATTATGGAGATGACCTCTCCACGCAACCCAGACATCTACGATATCATTGATGAGGATATGGTGAAGTCGTTCAGCAGTGAGACACAGATGCACTTCACCAAGGAGAAGCTCAAATGGCTCATCACTCAGAAACAGAATGAGACTATGGTAAAAGATTTGGGATTTTTTTATTGCTGCATTTTGTACAAAAATGTTTTTTAAAAAACCGCCCATAATCAGGCAAAAATAGGCTAAAAATGGTCCGAAAATCGATTTTTGGTGCGTTTTTTGACGCCGAAACGACCCAAAACCTAGAAAATACGATAAAAATCGCGAAAAAAAAAGATTTTCAAAAAATTGCACAGATGGCCTAGTGGGTTTTTGGACACGAATCTCAACACCAGGGTTCGATTCCACTAGACGCCAAACGCTTTTTTGCTTTTGTGCTGAGCATGTTTTAGTGGTTCTAGACGCTTCTAAATGTCATTTTCAGGTTTTTCTGAAATTCTGAAATTCCAAAATTCACTGAAAGTCGATAAAAATCGATATAAATCTGAAAATGACATTTAGAAGTGTCTAGAACCACTAAAACATGCTCAGCACAAAAGCAAAAAGCGTTTGGCGTCGAGTGGAATCGAACCCTGGTGTTGAAATTCGTATGTGTCCAAAAACCCACTATGCCATGAATCCATGAACTTTTTCGAAAACTTCGTTTTTTCGCGATTTTCATTTTTTTTTTTCTAGGTTTTGGGTCGTTTCGGAGTCAAAAAAAGACCGAAAATCGAATTTTGGATCATTTTTAGCCTATTTTTGCGCTTTTTCGATGCGGTTTTTTGTGCATTTTAGGAACTTTTTTCAATGTTTTTTCCGAATTTTTCGTCGGAAGATTACTGCAGATTACTGTAAAAAACCTTAAAAATTTGGAATTTTTCGAATATTTTAAGTTTTTCGAAGCTTCAGACATTGGAAGCGCATCGTGCGGAGATTCTGGCCAAGATGGATCAGAAGTTCTATCCGGCTGAGGATGATGGATCGTTGAGAGTGGAGATCAATCTACGTACAGAGCTAGCCGCGCAGAATACGTTGAAGCGGTTTTTGAAGGTTCAGCGTGAGTATTACGACATCGAGAAGATAGCCGACAGCTTCTACCCCTTACACAACGAATTTCGCTTCAGACCCAACAGATGAGTATCCATCGGTGGCTGCTGTGATGGAGCATCTATCGCTTCAGGATATCGACGAACGGTGGTCCTGTCAGAAGATCAACAAGATCAATGACACGGTCGAGAGATGTTCAGGGATCGGGAGTTTAGTAGGAAGGTTATACGGAAATGTCTTCTCTATGATCACAAAATTCCCTTAAGGGTAAGCCTGTAAAGCTAAAAACATGAATCTCCACCCCCTATTTCTTCCAGTCAGTGGTCGACTACGTTGGCACGNCGATCAAGGAAGAATCCAAGAAAGAGATCATGATTCGGGAGAAGATCTTCAAAATGGCATGTGATTTGATGATTCTGGACGATGAGAACGCCCGTCCCCTCTCCTTATACCACTGCTTCATCGCGACGTGCTACCTGGAGCCTGTCAAAGTTACAGAGGTCTGGAACATCTGTAGAAGTCTGAAATCGGGGATAAAGAAGAGAAAGATGGCGGAGATGTTGTCCAAAGTGGTGACGAGTTCCGAGATCAGAGTTGGTGAGTTTTGAATAGGATAGAAAATAGCTCAAATTCATCAAAATGTGTAAGCAAAGAAAGAAAAAATTCTAAAAATCGCGTTTTCTGGAAACTTCTACATAGAAGGTTCTGGAATCTTTTTTTGAAAAAATTTCAAAATCCTCCAATTTTGATAAAATTTGATATCACGACCCGAAATCGCTTGAATTCGAAGAATCCGTGAAAAATTTCAAAAAAGTAGAAATTTGAAAATAAAAATTTGGGAAATTTTCAGTTTTTTCAAAAATTCCAAAATCGTCCGATTTCGATGAAAATTGATTTCACGGCCTAAAATGGCTTGTAAATTATGAATCTTCGAGAAAATTTCGACAAAGTCAAGTTTGGAAAAAAAAACTTTTTCGTAAATTTTCAGTTTTTTTCAAAAATTTCAAAAGCGTCTAGATAAAAATTGATATCACGACCTAAAACGGCTTAACAATACGTAATATTTTTAAAAATTTCAAAAAAGTCGAATTTTGAAAAAAACATTTGGGAAATTTTCAGTTTTTTTTCCAAAATTTTCAAAATGGTCCGATTTCGATGAAAATTGATTTCGCGACCTAAAATAAGATGAAAATGAAGAATGTGCAAAAAATCCTCGAAAAAGTTGAATTCTGGAAAAAAAATATTTTGAGAAATTTTCAATTTTTTTTTTTAAAATGGCTCTTTCTCCAGAACCCGACGTGCTCCACGACATCATCGTCTGCTGCCTGGGTATTCATCCCTTCCGTTTTGATATCGAATCCACGCAGCTCTTCGTGGCAGCAGTTTCGAAACTTCTAGCGTTCCGAAACGAATCAGAAAGGATTATGCTTTTCGAGGCGATTGCAGATCAGCCGGAGATCCTAGATTTGGTAAGAGCATAATGACCATTTTCAGAAGTCTAGAGCTCGGCTGTTAAGTGGTATTTACGGAATTCTAGAGAATTCCTGATTTCTGATAGACACCCATTCTGGCACGTTTTCAGTACAAAAAGGGGTGTCTTTCAGAAATCAGGAATTTTCGAAAAATTCTGAAATGCTAAGTTTTCAATCTAGGTCTGTTTTATAATCTCCACTTGACAGACGAGCTCTAGACTTCTGAAAATAGTCAAAATCAACTGAAAAACATCCTTTTTTCATATATATATATATATATATTTATGGCTTATCCCATTTTACAGATCCAAGAGATCCTGTGTCACAGTGCCGATCAGTTCTCCAGTGCCGCCTTCCAAATGGTTCTCTTCTTCTTCACTCGTTTCCACGTCGGAGCCATCGAGTTCTACCCCGAGGAGCATCTAAGAACCATCTCTCAAATTGTGAACTTTTGCCACTGGTCCATCCGGAAGTTTGCCGGCGAGACGATGATGTTGAGCATAGCGATTGACGCGATTTGTGGATTCCTCCCATGGAGTTATTTGAGGGAGAAGGCGTTGTTGAAGGATGGAGGAGCTGATGAGATAGAGGATCCTGTGGAGAAACTGATTGTCAGGAATTTAAGGCATAATCGGTTTTGGTGAGGGTTGAAAAGGCTTTAAAAGTGTAGAAAAAGATGTACATTCATATAGAAAACAGAGAAAAAATTTGTTTATTGAATTCTCGACATTTTCACGATGTCAAAATTGCTCAGCTGGAAATTTCCGTAATTTCGATACCCATATTGTCATAGTTTTGAATTTTAGGGTGTATTCTGAATTCTGACGTCATCTGGATTCAAAAATAAATTCTTACCCAAATAGCGCAATATGGGTGTCAAAATGGCGGAAATTAAGTTGCAATTCGTTTTGACATCGCTATTTTCTTAAAAATTGATTTTGGACTTCAGATGACGTCAGAATTCAGAATCTACATTAAAATTGAAAACTATGACAATATGGGTGTCGAAATTTCGCAAATTTCATGCTGAGCAGTTTTGACATCGTGAAATCTTCAATGTATTGGCGGGAACTCAAGAACAACGAGAGAAGCAATTCAAAAAAATCGCTTCAAGTCAATTTCTGGAAAATTTAGAATTTTCTCTTTGTTTCTATATGAAACTACACGTTTTTTCTACACATTATGCCTCTTTTTTCCAGCGTTCTCCTCTCCGAACACGACAAAGACGATGTCATGATGACGATAGAGGATTTCGAGCTACTTCCACAAGCTCAGTTTATAGTGGAGATTTTGAAGAATAAGGATAAGGGAAAGGGTACGGTTTTGGAGCCGAATTTCAGCTAGAAAATGAATTTTTCAGAACCGCTCAACGCGTTGGCTCAAAAACTGGCAAAACTCGTGGTGGCTGCCAAGTCGTTTGAGGAGATTCATGCGGTTTGGTTGGCCTATGGACTACTGTCTGATAAGGCGGTGGAGTTGATTGAGGAGGCCGAGAAGTATAAGGGGAAAGGTAGGGGATCTTTAGAGCTTCGTTTTTAGCTGAATTTTGAGTCAAAATCTAAGCTCTAGACTGATTTTTCGGCTCGCCAAGCTTAAAGTTACCGCTAAGCGTTTTTTTTTCTGGATTTTCAAGCTTCTGGAGTCAGCCGTAAGGATCTTTATGCTGCTAGGAAGCTTTCTTAGGCCTCTGAAACATTGTCTAGTCGAATTTTAAGACCAAAAACCTGGGCTCTGGGCCGATTTTCAAGCTCTTCAAGCGGTTAATAAGGAGTTTTTAGCACTTCCTACGCTATTTAGGCACCGTCTAGGCTGGTTGGAACACCGCCCAGGCTCAATTTGGGAAGTTCTCCTAGTCAGAGGATTCTCTAACTGATTTTCAGCTCACCTCCAAGCTTAAAATGAACACTTCAAAATTCAGAAAAAGACTGGAAACTTCGCTATCCATCGCGCACGCTCATGGACTCGCTGGTCGACGCTGGCGCCGGATTCCACACCACTGTTTCGGATCTTCGAATGGCAAACTCATGGCTGGATAAAGGTCTCGGCAAGATTCAAATCCTCACTGATAAGAAGTTCTGCCTAGAGGATTGCCCTCCTTAACTTGTTCTCCTGGGTCTTTTCTTCTCTCATTCCCATTTTCTTTCCCTCAAATCTCATTTCTTCTTCATGTTGCCCATATTAGATTGTTTTTATTTGACATTTATTTTGATATTTCGAATCAAATAAAGTCACATATTTGAACTTCAAAACAGTCAGATCGTAAAATCACATTTTTCTAGAAATTTCGAGCCAAAAACCGTCGAAAACGGTTTGAAATCGCCCGAGATACNNCNCTTTGAAGTTTCTACTGAGGCTAACACGGTTTTCTAGTTTGTCCGCCACTTAGCCTCAGTAAAACAGCATGCGCGTTTACTGAGGCTAAGTAGCTACAAACTACAAATTGCTATTAGCCTCAGTAAAAACTTCAAAGCGCTGTATCTCGGCGTGTTTTCAACCGTTTTCGATGGTTTTTGGCTCAAAATGTCTGAAATTTCCGGCAAAATCGGAAAAATGACCTAGTTGAATGCACGATAATTGTTGTTTTGCGATTTATTTTCGGTTTTGCAGTGAAAAATAAATGAGTTCTGGAGTTGCTAGCAATTATTTTTATACCAAAAAAGCTAAATTCAGTCCGAAAGTCTTTCCAAATTAGCAGAAAATCGTTTTAACCGGTTTTTAGGGACCGAAGCTTTGTAAATCGAGGCGCCTCGCGAGGTGATGCTATTATTTCAGCCTTTCGCCTCATTTCGGCGTTTTTCAGTGGAAGAATGGGTTCTAGAGATGCTAGCGATCATTTTCATACCAAAATTTGAAATTTTATTGGGAAAATCTTACTAAATTCGTAGAAAATCGCAAAAAATCGCTTTTACTGGTTTCTTGGGGGCGTGGCCTATTAAATCGACACCAAGAGAATTTTAAGTCTTTAATTCCACAGTACTAATTCTAGAATTTTCTCGCGTTTTTTTAAGTATTAGCTATAATTACTCTGTATAATGTTCATTATAACCATCCAATGCATAAATACATCGATCGCTCCAATGATAATCGAGCGGGAACGGAAGGGCGATTCAAAAAACAAACAGACCGCTACGCAGCCGCTCGGATGCGGTCGTTTAGGGTCCTGGCAATATACCCCAGAGAGTCACATAGTTTATTATCTGAAGTGCTACACCTTTTGGACCCTTATAACCGTAAAACTATTCATTCTGCATATCCATAAAACAACCTTTTAAGCTCATATTGTATTCCCTTTGGACCTATATAACATCCTATTACCCTTATACCACTCATTCCTTTATTCACTCATTCTCAATGGTGTCTACTCTATTCAACATACCAAGCAGAGTTATTCGAGACAATCTCAACGAAATGGATCCATTGAAATTGTAAGTTATTTTATGGTTTTAAACTATTCAAATCAATCAAAAATATCCTTTGCCTTCAATACCGTAACCACTCTGTTCGGATGCCGCAGCTAACCGTCAACTTTGGGCAATTATCTCAGTTCCTGTAAAAGATATCAAAAAGCTGTTAACTGATAAAAGGTTTATCAAACCCTCAGTAATATTTCATTAGTTGACCACTTTTTGATATCTCTTACAGGAAATGAGATAAGTTTGCTCAAAGTTGATGATTAGAATGATTACAGTAATTCTATTCGAATGCAACTGACCGTCAACTTTGGGCCAAATTATCTCGCTCCCTATGAAAGGTATCAATAACTGGTCAACTGATAAAATGCTTATGATAATATGATTAACATTTTTTCAGTTGACTACATTTTCTATATCTTCCAAAAGAAATCAAGATAAATTGGCTCAAAGTTGACATCTAGAGAATTTAACGTTAGGCCCCGTTGATCGGTAAAAGAATATTTTAATCTCGTTGGGAATCATCAAAGTTCAGGGGGTTTTTATCACTTTGTAAAAGAAGCAGTCTTCATGAATCCATACTCTATTGTATGTCTAATTTCATACGTTTCCACCTAATATCCAAGGACATATTGGTTGAGAGGTTACGGTAACCACTCTACTCGAATCCCTAGCTAGTCGTAAACTTTGAACGCATCTATCTCATTTCCTGTAAAAGATATCAAAAAGTTGTCAACTGATAAAATGTTTAGCATGTTATCAGCAATATTTTATTAGTTGACCGCTTTTGATACCTTTCACAGAAATCGAGAAAATTGACTCAAAGTTGACAGGAGAATTCTGTTAAATTCGGACCATAATTCCCCATAGATCGGTAGAAGAATTTAAGGACTCGCTTGCAAATCATCAAATTTATAGTTGTTCCTAATTTTCAAAGAAGTTAGTTCAATTACTTACTTTTCTGCCTAATTTCATACCTTTTGAATTTGTATACAACAATACATAGGTTTAGAAGCTACCGTAACCTCACCATCCGAATCCCTAGCTAGTAGTAAACTTTGAGCCCATTTATTTCGCTTCCTGTTACAAGGGAACGACAACACCTCGTCAGTTTGGATTTTGATGAAAATTTCAGAATATGTCAAGGATATCCTATCTAGACATCCCTGAAAATTTTAGAACACGCTCGTCAATTTCAGCAGAGTTATATCCGTCCAAAGTTTTAGTACTGAAATCCGTTGATTTGCATGCTTTACCACACATTTCATCCCCGAAATCCCTTTAAAAGGAGTTTGAAGAGGGCCTGAGATTTAAGCGCCTTTCGAATCAATAGTAAATGTCAACGGCGTGGTGTCGGGGATGTGGTGGGCGCCAGTAGTCACGAGGCTGTGGGTTCGGACCCTCTAGTGTTTTTTCTTTTTCTTTCTTTTTGTTTTCTTATTTTGCGACATTTCAGGATATCTCTGACATATGTTTCAAAATTTTATCAATTCAAGAGAGTAGAAACAAAATTTAGAAAAAAAAATTTTCAAAAAAAATTCCAAAAAAATTTGAAGGTTCAATCACTGGAATGTGGTGGTTTTGAAGCTCTGTTTTTGGACCTATACGGACCATGAATGAATAATGAAAAGCGTGCAATCAAAAAATAGATTACCTATCAGTTGTAAAATAATATTTGCAAACAATTATCACTACTTTTTCAAGGAAGTTTTCCAAATTGACAAAAGCTCGATAAAATCACCCACCCAAATGGTGGAAAAAATCTCAAATTTTTTCAAAAAAATTTTTTTCAGAAAATGTCTGAAATATGATATTACACATAATTCTGAGTATAGCAAAACAAGTTTCATGTTCTGGAACCTCATGAAAGCGGAGAAAATCGCCTTTGAAAATCGCTATTTTTGCACTGAAAACGCGATTTTTGGTACTGAAACTGATATAACTCTGCTGAAACTGGCGAGCGTGTTCTAAAATTTTCAGGAATGTCTAGATAGGCTATCCTTGACATATACTGAAAATTTCATCAAAATCCAAACTGACGAGGTGTTGTGGTTCCCTTGTTAGAGATATTAGTATGTGGTCAACTTTTAAAATATTTATCATAATATCAGCAATATTTTATCAATTGATCACTTTTCTATATCTCTTACAGTAACCGAGATAATTAGGCTTAAAAAGATAGGCCCCTTCCTCCATTATCCTACTCTCCCTGGGTCCGCTTTCTTGGAACCAAGTTATCTCGATTCCTGAAAATTATATCAAATAACGGTCAACTAGTAAAATGTGGGAAATTTAATTTGCTATATTTTTGTAGTTTACGCTTTTTTGATATCTTTCTAGAAGCCGAAATAATTGTGTTTTAAGTAATCAACCCTTTTTGATGTCTAGTGACCTTCAATTGCCCAATTTTCAGATTTTCCCTGTCCCTTGAATCTCTAGAATCCTCAAGGGACATAAAGTACTATGGACCAAAAAACCTACTCCTGGATATCTGTTCAGATGGAGAAGTTGGCCTATTCGAGATCACCGCAAAAGATGGGACATTTCCAATTCACATACTCCAAAAGAAATCAGCCAACACTTTAGAAATCAACACCTACAGTATCCTGGAGGCTACTGTAGACATTCATTTCGACTCTAAATTCGTGTCAGTTTTTTGTGACAATTTGAGGATTGGAATGAGAGTGGTGTTGCTGCATTTGAAGGAGATTTTCGGATGCAGAGTTGGGATTTGCAAGTTGGAGAACTTTTGGAGAGATTATAAGGATGTTGGGGACGATTTGGGTTCGGAAGAGCTCAATTTGGAAGGGATTGAGGAGCCAAAAATTGAAAAAATCTGTGCAAATAAGGTCTACAGTATCCTTCCATTCAAAAAGCCAAGCCGCCAAGGAGTTAACTTAGAATCCATTAAGAAGCTAGAGGATCTTCTGAATTATCCAAGTATCCAAAAATCCAGATTCCCACTTCTCCAACTTCCAGGCCTGGATCTGGAGAACGTTTTCAAGGAAATGGAAGTCATGGATTTGTAAGGGATCCCTCAGATTTGATATTCTAAATTTGGAATTTTTGTAGAATCTCCCTCTCCATGACCTCCAAGAAATTGCAACGACTGATAAGCCAGACCTCTGCCTCGATGGATCCCATTGCTCATCTCGAAGTCTACGCCTATGAGAAAGTGTCCCATGTGGAAATCCACACCTCCAACGACGTCATAAAGATTCACAGCCTTCAGAAGGACCCGAAATCCCTTAAAGGAATTTTTGATGTGGAGGATTACTGTATCAATGGAACCAAAGTTCCAACTCATATCGATTCTAAATTTATGACAACCTTCTGGAGAGATCATATCCAAGGAATGGGGATTATTGTACAGTACCTAATGGACCTTCTGGATTGCAAGGTACAAAAATTGGATATTGAATATATGGAGGAGGAAAAGAAGTCCCTTTTGGTGGATGTGATAGCTGATAAGCAATCAGAAATCGAGGAATTGATTGGATCCAATGATAGAAGGCTGAGAATCAAGAAGAGTTCGGCAAGGGCTTGTGAGGTGGGTATCAATAGAGCGAATTTGCAATTAAAGTTGGTTTTCAGGACTACTGTAACCAGTGCTGGAAATGTGATGCAATGAACACATGGAATGCTCAATTATCTCGATTCCTGTAAAAGATATATAGAAAAGTTGTCAACTTATAAAATGTTCATCATATTATCAGTAACATTTTATCAGTTGACACATGTTTGATATCTCATACAGGAATTGAGATATATAAGTTCAAACTTAACAGTATAATAGTAAACACCTAAAACAAGATCCCACATTTTGGGAGCACCCCTAGTAAACTGTCCTTCCATCTAAATATTCGCTGTCAATTTCATTAAATTTCAATAGCCCCCCTCCTTCTTTTCTATAAATTAACACCGAAATTCATAGGCAAGGAGCAAGGGGGGACAGAAAATGAAATTGAATGAGGCGATTGATGGGGGGAAGAAGAAGACACAATTAGGTATTTATAGGGGGAAGGAAACTGGTGGACCACTTGAGGGGGTATCTAGAATTACAAGTGTTCCTAATTTAGGAGGATAGACGGATAGGAGAAAACTCTCAATTGGAGCGCTCCTAATGATTCGAACCGTTAACTTTGAGCCAATATATCTAATTTTCTGTAAGAGATATCAAAAAGTTATCTACTAACAAAATGTTTATTATAAAAAGGAGATCATTCTGCTAGTTGACTATTTTTGAGGTCTATTACAGGAAACGAGATAATTAGATTCCAAGAAAGCGCACCCAAGGGGAGAGAGGTAAAGGTGGAGGCTGCCTGTCCCTTTCAACCAAATTATCTGGGTTGTTGTCAAAGATATTGTTACGTCCTTAGGATCCGGCATTCTGGCCGGCGCAAGGAATACAAATAGTAGTTATAGAATACAGATTTTATTCAGATACTAAAGATGTACGAGAATAGAGGGGGAAAAGTAGAGAAGGATGGGAGAGACTAGGACAGACCGAGAATGGTTGTCAGCCCCAAAGAAAGAGGGGTTCTGACCAATGAAACAACTAAGAAGAAGAGTGCCAGAGAAGGGCGCTCTTCTTAGGTGGGTAGATCACAAATAATTTGGTAGATCAAATATGAAACTAATCGAAGTATGCATAGAATGTAACAGATATCAAAATGTTTATTATAAAAAGGAGATTATTTTACTAGTTGACCAATTTTTGAGGTCTATTACAGGAACCAAGATGAATAAGATCTTGCTATCTACTCCCAGGAAGCGAGATGTTCCTTGTAAAAAGATAGTGCTTTTCATGAAGCATATACCTCCTGCTTCATGTTAAACACCTTTCTATAGAAAACTATACCTCATACACACTGATTACTCATTAGTATATGCACCATTCTTCGTTTTTTAATAAAAACCAGGCATTCAGAAAGTTCTATAAAGTTCCGGTTTGTTCTTTCCAACTGAGAAGGTCATGTATTTATAGATAACACTGTCTGGTGTGTAATAAAATTAGGTTGCGAGATCAGTTAATTGCTCGAATTCTCCAATTTTTCCCCTTCAAAGCAAACTAAAAACCACTCAAAACGGACCATTTTGAGCTGAGATACAGGGCAGAGACGCAGACACTCTCGTTTCTCTGCGCTCTCGCCAAACTTTAAAGGCGCACAACTCGCTTCAAAATTTAGCTAGAAAGTTGATTGTTGGCTAGAATTGTAGGAAATTTCAAGTGGAACAGAATGATATTAAATGTTGTATGAAAATTTGAAAAAAAAACAAGTTTTGCTTTAAAAAAAAGGGTAAAGCCTTCTATTCGGCTGTGGACGCTCTTGGAACTTTTTAAAAGCTGGGAACTACAGACAGTTAAGAAAAAACTCGAAAATCTAGTTGAATTCTTGAATTCTCCGAGGTTTTCCCTCTAAAACCAACTAAGCTCACTAAAAACGGACCATTATGAGCTGAGATACAGTTAATGGGGAGAGACGCAGACACTCTCGTTTCTCTGCGCTCTCGCCAAACTTTAAAGGCGCATAACTCGCTTCAAAATTTAGCTAGAGAATCGGTTTTTAGCTAGTTTTGTAGAAAAATTTAATGGGAATCAAATACAATTTGATAGTAACAAGTTGAAAAAACAACAATTTATCTTGATTCCTGTAGAAGAAATCAAAAAGTGATTAACTACGTTTTATATCCAAAATTGCCCTTGTCCCTCTTGTTTTCCCTTCACAAATATCATAGTAATAAACACAGAGTGTGTAAAGCACTTCCGGTGTCAGTAGCAGTTGTGTATAATGTAAAAGTGACAAATGGTTTCAAAATTCGCGCACTTTCTCCCCCACCAACAAACACTTGTCATTCTGTCCCTAATGCCTGGTGACAGCCGGACGACGACGTTTATCTTCTTGTATGAATTTCAATTCGCAACTAATTTATGCAAAACAGCTGACACTTTTTCGGGGGGCTCCGGATCCCAGAGAGTTTCTGGATCCAAAAACCAATCCATCATTTCTTTACCCACTTCTGCTTCTTCCTATGCTTCTTTTTGGTTTTTCCGCCGCCACCACCGAATTTTGAGGAGGCGCCTGTGAGATAGATGATAACGAGACATGATGGATTGGTTTCTGAGGTGTCATCTTGATTCATTGCGATTCCTAGTGAATAGGCTTCTATCGGTGGATAGCCGCTCTAATAGAAATCCACCGTGTACATGCATTTGAGCTCAATTATCTCGGTTACTATCAAAGATATCAATAACTTGTCAATTGATAAAATATTGCTGATACTATGATAAACAATTTAGCAGTTAACAACTTTTTGATAGCTTCGCTAGGAACCGAGATATTTAAGCTCAAAGTGCACGCATAGAGACACATGGGGGGTGTCTATCTGTAGATCGGTTTGTCCTTTTTTTTTAAATATTTTTCTTCTGTCTGTAATTGTCTTTTTTTGTCATTTCCTAAAACTCCAAGTTTTCTCCTTTAATACAAACTAAAAATCATTAAAATCGGACCATTTTGAGCTGAGATACAGGGGAGAGACGCAGACACTCTCGCTTCTCTGCGCTCTCGCCAAAAGTTTAAAGGCGCATAACTCGCTTTAAAATCTAGCTAGAAAGTTGAATTTAAGCTAGTTTTGTAGGAAATTTCAAGGGGACTAAAATGGTATAAAATTTGATAAAAACGTTATTCTACCAGACTGTTCATGATAATTCAAAATTACAAATCTTGTTTCGTCACCTCCCCAACTATAGTAGTGTTCTTGAAGGAGAGAAGAAGACGAGGTAAATATCTTTTTTAGCTTTTTCATCTTCCTGAAAAGACGACGTCGCATTCAACAAGTGGTAATCGCATTTTCAGCTTTTATGAAAAGCGCCGCGCGCGAAAGCGAAATAAATTTATTTTTGGTCTTCTTCTTTCTGTTGTTCGTCTTTGTAAGAAAATAATTCAAGAAAAGAAAAAAGGATTCTGGGAATGACAAGAGATGACATTTGCAGACACAAAAACGAAGAGGATAGAAAAAAAAAAACCAAGTATCGTATATGCACTTTGAGCTCTATTATCTTAATTCATTTCAATAAAATTTTTATTTGAAATTGCATATCATTCTAATCCCCTTGAAATTCCCAACAAAACTTGCTAAAAATCATATTTCTAGCTGAATTTTGAAGCGAGTTATGCGCCTTTAAAGTTAGTTTGGCGAGAGCGCAGAGAAACGAGAGTGTCTGCGTCTCTGCCCTGTATCTCAGCTCAAAATGGTCCGTTTTGAATGATTTTAAGTTAGTTTTAAAGGGAAAAACTTGAAGAATTCAAGAATTGAACTAGATTTTTGAATTTTTCACCAACTGGCTGTGGCTCCGAGCTTTGAAGTGGGTCCTGGAGCGCCCTCATCTAGTAAGCTTCCTCTTAAAACAGCGAGAAGCCTTCAAGGTTACTGTAGCTGCCAAAAACATGTCTGTCTAGCTAAAACATGCGGTAAATCTTGGTGCCTGTCAACGGACTGTCACCAGATGGACTACGAACAAGGGCAGCGTAGCTAGACTACTCCAAATTGAGGAATTCTGGCTTCAGAACATTTAGAAAGTTTGATTAGGCATTTTTCTGAGTTGTGTGGAAACCCAATTAAGGTTAACCTCATCCAGAAGATTGTGAAGATTCAGAAGATTCTTCCTAAAACTGTTCATCCCTTCTAGAAGGCTCCAAATCTGATCCCAAACCTTTCTCATTTTAAAAATTCCAACTTTCTACTCATCTTCCCCACCCATTCAAGTACATTGTATTGCACGCCTCATTTGCATACTAATTGACTATTGTGCCCCATGTACTAAAGACTTAAAAGAGAGAGAGAGAGAGAGGTACTAGTAATACTACCGCGATTATCCTTTGCCCCCCTGGCTGCGAGAATAAGCTTATGAAGTGGAGGCTAGCGGGCAGGATAAGCCA